TTTTCTGTATTTGGATTTTATTTACATGTATATGAAACGGAACACATTTGTGTGTGCATTGAAAAACACAAGTGTGGATCATGAAATACAAGTGTGAATCCTTATGTGTGTATTATGAGACTGTTCTGAGCCCATATGCTCAAGCCCATGCCCTCAAATATAAGTCAAATAAGTGTAATTTATTTTGTGACAAACGAACGTTTTCGTAGTTTGACGAGGCAATTAATGGCAATGATAACTGTCTAATATGGCTATCTTTTTAGCTAACTTACCAATGTGGCTAACATCTGCAATATACATTTTGTCAATAATTATTTATATTACTGTACTATTACATGTTAATAAAATATAAAAAAATTATATTTTATAAAACAAAAAAGTTGTTTGAGATGATGCTTAATTTTATTTAATATGAATTATTGTCATTTATTTAGTTTATTGTTCTCATTGTTTAAAAGTTTGTGTTATGGTTATGGTTCTGGTGTGAAATAAAGCACAATAATTACATTTAAGACTTTTTTAAAGAAAAGTATCGAAAAAGAATCGCAATTCTTGACTTGGTATCGGTATCGAAACCAAAATGTTGGTGTCGTGACAACACTAGTAGACACTCAAATAACTTGAAACTGGCAATCGTATAGTGACACATACATACATTGTTTTCAGCAGTGTGAGTTTATCTTGACAAAGGATAGAAATTAAGAAGATTATCAACCTCACCAACACTTTGTGGGTTATGCGTATCTAAATTGTAAAATCTCAAAGCATTTTTTCCATCTATACTCTCATAGTAGAACAGTACCATTTAGTGTTATCCCCATGGTCTACTGTTATTTTTTTTTTAACATAAATCTAAAGATAATTGAATCGGCAGCGTAGTATTGTGAAAGCATCGTATTGGGAGATAGAGGATAGAGGCTGGATTGTAGATATTTGTATAACAGAGAGGGTGAAACAGTGTGTAGGAGTTTTATTGTCGGGCAGCTCTATGGAGTACGATCAGACGAGAGGAAGAGAGTGAGACAGACAGACAGACTTCTTCTAAAGGAAACGTGGAGGTGTGTGATGTGAAAGGTCATAAGCTTTGATCCTTCCTCTTTTTCATCTCTCTCTTCTCACTGCGATGTGGTGTCACAAACTCAAACAGATTCACAAATGTGGCCATGTGCACAGACACACGCTGTGAAACACTCTCTCCCCTGTCACCTTTTCCACAGTGCTTGGCAGTTGTCTGTGTAGGCACATGAGAGTCAGACTTTCAAGCTTTGCCCTGAGATGAGAGAGGTGAGCACTTTTAGCATTGATCAACGGATTCACGCCTGTTAAAGTCTTTTTTAGTCTGGATCGTGTCTTTTTAGACTTTGCTCTAATCTCGGGATCTACAGCAGTATTTAGAGTATTTCAGAGCAGCCTGTTAGTGGTGTTATTCCAGTTGCATTATGGGAGCCATGATGGCCGCTCTCTCTGTGGAGGCCAGGAGGCGTCTCTCTCACTGCGGCCACAATGCAGCCAGGTACCATCGCTCAGGTAGGCGCTCGTATGGTTTCACTTCCCCAACTATTATCCGTCTTCATTCAACCTTTCATTCACATCTTCACTCTCTCACGTTGTCTCTCTTTTTTTCACTCTTAATTCTCTTTCTAAAAGCAGTAATCCAGAGGCTGTCTTGATTCTTTTGGAATTGGTCTCTGCTGATAAGTAAACCGTTTTGTGGTGTTTACGCTCTAAACTTCCAAGAAAATACTTTAGTTGAACAGGTCTGGGAAATCGTTTCCGCTGTAGTCTAAATTAGTTTTGGTTCAGTCATGACTATTCCCACTAACTGTGAACATTAAACCCATTTCTACATTATTGTTCGCTGAATAGTAGGCTACACTTACAAAGTACATTTACTGCAAAGTTGAGGTAAGTACATGATTATATTTTTTTAGGTTTAATATGGCTTTACACAACAAAATGTCAAATGTTTTACTTTTATCTACTGATTATCGACTATCTCTATCAATTTTTCAAATGCCAAAGGCAGTAATCGAGTACTTCAACATTTGACACTTTAATTACATATTTTGTCTCCTCCCCAAGTACTTATGTAGTGGTAGATCTCGAATGCAATGGCATTTTACTTGTAATTGAGTACGTATGGTGGAATTGCTTTTACTTGGCAATGGCAAAAATGGCAATAGTCAAGAATTTATCTTTAATTTATCATTATTAATTGAATTTTGATAAAGCCTTGCTTTGCTATGCAATTCTTGTCAGCCCACTGGGATGATCTGAAAGATAAATGTCATGTGTAAACAACATTGAGCTGCATATATGATAGCATGGTATTGTTTAGCTTGATCTTGCTGAGGTGTCTGACTGAGACGAAGCAGACTATTATGTCAGCAGGCAGCGCCAAGCCTACCTTTTAAAAACCTGTTAGTGTCCTTATGGCCTGCTAGAAGAACCATCATGCTCACACATATACTAGACCCTAAGCTCACTACACCAGCATCAATATACAAAAGAACAAACATAATTGCACATAAATAGACTCAAGCCCAACCCCTAATGCATCCCATAATAGCTGCTGTACATGCATGGTGTGTTGTGTTGTGTGTGGATGTCACCTGATCCACACGTCTCCCAGCTCCAACCAAGTCAATGCATTAAAACACACACACACACCCCTCCATTCCCCGTGTTATCCTGATGCATTAGCGAGTGCAGTCATCAGTTATCTTCTACTGACCCGCAAAACACACAGTCACCACATATATATATATATATATACACTAGGGGTGTAACGGTTCACAAACATTTCGGTTCGGTACGTACCTCGGTTTTTTGGTCACGGTTCGGTTCGGTACGTTTTCGGTACAGCAGAATTTTTTTTCACAAAACAAAACATATATATATATATTTTTTATTATTATTATTAAACTGTGAATAATGTATTCACTCAAATAAATACAAAATATAATAAAATAAACATTAAGGTGCAGCATTTCGATGAACTGAAATAATCTGTATTTGAACTTTACTGTAGGCTACTAGTACTCACAAAACATAAACTATTAGTTTTGGGTTTTTAATTATTATTAAACTGTGAATATTCACTCAAATAAATACAAAATATAATAAAATAAACATTAAGGTGCAGCTTTTCGATGAACTGAAATAATCTGTATTTGAACTGTACTGTACTAGTTCCTAAGCAGCCAGCTTGACATTAGGACTTGCTTGTCATTGTAATTTCATGTTTTTTTAAAGAAAAATTAACTTGTCCACATTGCTTGCCGAAAGGGCAGATCTGCTGGCACTAACAATGTCTCCTGCTGTGGAGAACACCCTCTCTCTAGGGACAGAGGTAGCAGATACAGCCAGGTAGCGCTTTGCTAACATGGCAACATAAGGATATTTGGTGTTTGTAATAGCTTTGGCTCGGTCTGAACTCTCTGCGAGTGGTGGAGGCTTAAATGCTAGCGGGAGTTGGGTTTGCACTTCAGTCTTTTTTCTTTTGGTACCGGTGATATTCAAGTTCGGGTGATGCCTTTTCAAGAGTGTGCAAGTTTGATGTATTGCCAGCCGCGTAACCAATGTTAGTTGAACAATGCCGACAAACAGCTTTGGTTCGGTCCACCTGTCTTTGTCCGTCATCCTTGTTCGTAACTGCGAAACCAAAATGTTCCCAAACCGGAGACTTCAATGATGCTGGAGGATTTTCGAGCTCAACTTTATCTGCGTTCGCCATTAATTTTCGACAGTTCCTCAAATTACTGACTACATGTGAACGCATCCCTGTGACCAGCTCTCATAGTATGCCTCTCATCCAATTAAATGACTTGCTCGCTCTATGACGCGTTGAACCCAATGTGAGCAAATTACTCTGAATGCTGCGACGCAGCACCTGAGATTACTTCCAACAAGTTGTTCACGTTCTCAATTTTTTACGTTTAACGTTATATTTGTTCGGTACACTTCGGTACACACCTGTACCGAACCGAAGGGCCCGTACCGAATAATTTCGGTACGGGTACGTGTACCGTTACACCCCTAATATACACACTAATGCTCACAAACACTCATCATACTTCTGCATGTTATCTATGACAAACTGTTGCTCATGTTCCAGGAATCTTAATAATACATTTATAATACTCAGAGTTCTTCTATGCAAAGATGGAGGAGTTAAAGTGTGGGGAGGTGGGAGGTCCCTGCTAGTTGACCTCTGTGTGCCAGTCTGTAGGTCTGGCCACACCACACCATAAATCAAAGAAGGGGGTGGAACGTTGTATTGTTAGTATCATAGAGGGTTACTGTGTACACATCAGGCATAGGACCAGAATTGCCTTATCAAAAGATGTAAATCACAACCAACACAACATGCAAAATTAAAAGCAAACTAACAAATCAAGAGGCACAAATCTCCCAGGAAGGGTTCCAAACAACCACAAAGAGATGAAACGATTACACAGAAATTAAAAGATCAAACATACTTGCAAAATGACAACCACGAGATGCAAAAACACAACACAGAGATGCAAAAATACCTCAAAGATATGCCAAAGCACTTCAAAGTCTTGCAAAACTGCCTAATTCAGTCTTTGGGCCTTGCTAGGAGGGCTGGCGGGCCTTTTATATGTCTATTTCTATGTTGTCTTATGTCAATATGTGGAGTTACATATAGCTTTTAATTGATATTATTTCATATTTATTGTTTGTTAGGCATCAATTTCCTCACAGTACCTCTTTGCTCAGAACCAAGGCATCACATTTGAGCACGGTTTCGCTTTTGTTTCATGAATGTGCTGTAGTCCGGCCCTACGTCCAAACATTTGTCAACCCGCCCCTAAAGAGCTAGATGTGGTGGAGAAAGGAGGGACAGAAACAGAGAGTCAAGCAGAGGGGGGGAGAAAGTCAGCGGTTGGCCAAAGTTATGGAATGACAGGGGGGATGGAGGGAGGAGGAGGCGCAAAGGCGAATCAGATGGAAAGACGGAGAAAAAGGAGGAGTGCGGTGGAGTAAGGAGAGACCACAAGAAGGACGGGATGGGTTCTTGGTGGACAGTGCACTCCAGTTTCAAACCTCAGCCGGAGTGAGTGTACTAAGTAAGTCGAGGGAGGAAAAGTTGCAACAAGAAGCAGCAACAGATACATTCAGGAAGCAGCAGAGAGAGGGAAGAAATGGAAAAATATGTGTGGAGGAGGTAGACGCCAAGGGAGGTTTCATTCCCCACAGCTCCTCTCAGTTTATCAGGATTTCCCTCCCTGGACGCTGCTGCTCTAAGTGCCTTCTCTACAGGGCCATACTCTTCCATATCGGGACCTGGATTTGGACAAACAGTGAAGTGGACACAATCAGACGGGACCGCTGCGTTGAAAGTTGAAGTATTTGCGGTCAATTCATGTCTGTCCTTTGAGGTTTTAAGTAGACCAAATAATTAGTGACAGAATCAGCATTATTAGGCTGCATTGGTAAATATTTGAATCAATTCTGTTCTATGCACTGTTCACTTTGCATGAAAAATTGATTTTTGTATCTTGCCTGACGGGTCAGTTTTAAAACATTATCTCATCCTGAATATTGTTGAGCGGATGTCGCTAAAACCACAGAGTCAGAGTGTTCCCTGCCTGCAGATAGAGAGAATTTACAGTATGTTTTGTTTAGTTTGTTGCTCGTGGTTGGTGCAAATAATGAGGTGAATTATTATTAATGACTAATGTTGTTATTGCGTTTATGGCATGGAAGATGAGAAGACTCTGGTATTGCCTGTCCTGTATTTCATCAAGTCAGTTGTATGCACCAAATTCTTAGCTTTTTCTCAAAAGACGTTTTAAACTGAAACCAAGTTGTGATTCAGGAGAGTAAACTATGACGTGAGGACTGATAATAGCTGTTTGGATTAAGAGGTGAGCAGTAACTTGTGTTTTTGACTTTGCTCCTGAGACTGCGTGCAGGAGCAAAGTCTGGAAAGTGAGTCTAAACGTCTCCTTTAATGCACCGTAATAAATGGCTTGTGACACAACCCCCGTTTTCCCTCATGGGTCTAGAGAGGGAAGTTTTCCATATATGTCGGCTTCCACATATTTTCCACTTCAGCATCAGTGTTGACATTACAGCAGCCTTCGTCCAGCCTGCTTGGCCTCGTTCTCATGTGCTCTCCTGGGCCTGGAAACAAACCCATGCCGTCACTCCCCAACCAGACTTGATTCCTGTCACTTGGTGGGCCCCCTCTGTTGAAAACACTTGTTGTTGACTGGCCTGGTCTAGCAGTGCTCGTGCCGGCCCAGGCTCCCTCTCCTCTCTCTCCGGGGGCCAGGCCTTCTGAGGCAGGCTTGGCCCTGAGTGGGCCCCCCCCACCCGGGAAGCCATGGGGATCCAGGGCATGGAGCTGTTTGCCATTGGCGTGGTCATCATCCTTTTCATGGCAGTTCTCAAGCAGTTTGGCATCTTGGAGCCCATGTCCTCATTTGAAGGTAAGGGCCCATCTGAGCCCACTATGATGACTCACTACTGTCTGCTGTAGAAACACTATATCGGAGTTAATAGAAGGCTTATAACACACTATAATGTATTTTTTATGCAAAGAGGAGGATGTATAGAGATCCAATAAAATGTATATTATCAATCCTTAATAAAAACTGATTTAATTTAAGGTTTAAGTATGTGGTCATTCAGTATTTATATATCTGCTAATAACTACAATAGTGTCTTTATAATCGATTTATTTATTTACAAATTCATATACTGCCTTCCATTGGTAAATACAGGGCTAGAGTGAGATTCAAGTTATAACATTTACGTTTTATCTATTAAACCTGCAGTTTTTATATACTACAGTTTTGGTAAAACAAATAACATAATGTTGTTGCAAGATGAAGTTCACCTACTATTAGGGGTGTAACGGTTCACAAACATTTCGGTTCGGTTCGTACCTCGGTTTTTAGGTCACGGTTCGGTTCGGTACGTTTTCGGTACAGCAGAAAAAATTATCACAAAACATAACATATTTTTTAAAATTATTATTAAACTGTGAATATTCACTCAAATAAATAAAAAATATAATAAAATAAACATTAAGGTGCAGCTTTTTAATTAACTGAAATAATCTGTATTTGAACTGTACTGTACTAGTCTAGTACCTAAGCAGCCAGTTTGACATTATGACTTGTTTCTCATTGTATTTTCATGTTGTTTAAAGAAAGATGAACTTGTCCACATTGCTTGCTGAAAGGGCAGATCTGCTGGCACTAACAATGTCTCCTGCTGTGGAGAACACCCCCTCGCTAGGGACAGAGGTAGCAGATACAGCCAGGTAGCGCTTTGCTAACATGGCAACATAAGGATATTCGGCGTTTGTAATAGCTTTGGCTCGGTCTGAACTTTTTGCGAGTAGTGGAGGCTTACATGCTAGTGGGAGTTGGGTTTGCACTTCAGTCTTTTGGTACCGGTGATATTCACGTTCGGGTGATGCCTTTTCAAATGAGTGTGCAAGTTTGATGTATTGCCAGCCGCGTAACTAATTTTAGTTGAACAATGCCGACAAACAGCTTTGGATCGGTCCACCTGTCTTTGTCCGTCATCCTTGTACGTAACTGCGAAACCAAAATGTTCCTAAACCGGAGACTTCAATGATGCTGGAGGATTTTCGAGCTCAACTTTATCTGCGTTCGCCATTTAGACAGTTCCTCAAATTACTGATTACATTTGGACGCATCCCTCTGACATAGTATGCCTCTCGTCCAATGAAATCACTTGCTCGCTCTATGACGCGTTGAACACAATGGGAGCAAATTACTCTGAATGCTGCGACGCAGCACCTGAGATTACTTCCAAAAAGTTATTCACGTTCTCAATTTTTTACGTTTAACGTTATATTAGTTCGGTACACTTCGGTACACACCTGTACCGAACCGAAGGGCCCGTACCGAATAATTTCGGTACGGGTACGTGTACCGTTACACCCCTACCTACTATTACTTCTTAAGATAATACAGTTCCTAAAAAACATTTGATTATCTGAAAGTAGCAATAGTGACCAAGTCTTATCTTTCCACTTTGCCTTCCATACTACAGTAGTAAGCTAAAGTAACGTTTATTTATATTTCCCCCTGTCTAGAATCATACATCACAAGATGCTTCACACTAAAGTGAGTCAGAAAGTACTAACACAATATGAGAGTAACACATTAAACAAAGATTGGGCGTGGCAAGGTTTGAATGGCTAAATTTAAAACATCTGGGCCAACAGTGGACAACATTTGAAAATGTGTGTTTCAAAGTTGATCTTCAAGAATAATGAATACAAAAATAAATGAATCGTTTCCAAGGTGTTCTAGTTAAGTCCCCTCATTAACCTTTCAGCTCTCTACTAGTGTAATAAGTAAACATAAAGAAAAAAATGTAGTATAGTATAACTAATAGAAACATGTACGTACTTTTTTAGTATGTTCAAGCATGAAAGTTATGTTTTTATCAGAAAAAGCACCAGAGTGGAAAAGGGTTTTATTTTGCCTACAAAGGAAAAATACCAAAAACCCTTGATGGGCCACATTGACAGTGTACGTTTGGGACAGTACCAGAGACATCAGATGCTTTTTGAAAGCTACGCTCTTTGATTAGAGGTCTGGGCTGAAGGCCAGCCAGTCAGAGTGCCCTGCAGCTGCTGTGCCAAGACCAATTACAGCAGGAAGGCTCCCGCAGGCACATTAGTGCTTCTCGTATAGTTCTGTATCATAAGTAATAAATTCACCAAAAACACAAGTAATGTCCTTTCATAATTGATCACCTTCTCAATCCTTCCACACGAGGGATGTAAGAAGGAAAGAAAGTAGAAAGAACTCCAAATAATAATACGAACTAACCTCCCTCCTAATACCTCTCCTCCTCCTCATCCTCCTCCTCATCCTCCTCCTCCTCCTCCTTCCTCCCTCCTCCTCCTCCTCCTCCCTCCTCCCCTTCCCCTCACTGTGGCACTGCCCACACCCCGGTTTTAGCTATTACTTCCCATCAATTATACATGCAGTATCGAACAGGCTTTCTCTGAGGCCGCCTAAATATGGAGCCTGGAGTACTCCTCCAGGATCCTGAAGGACACTGGCCATCACGCAGTAGCCTCCAAAATACTCAACATGCATCTTTAATCCTTTAATTACTTCATCCTTTCCCAGTGAGAGTCATCTACTATATTCATTATCTCTTCAGCATCTTCTCATCAACATTTTAACTGTTTGGCAGCAGATATTTGATATATTTTCTCCCTCAAATGTTCAGCTGCATGCATTCAAATTAGGGAAAAGTCACTCGTACCCTCGCGATTTTCAGGATTCACAAGTCCAGATGTTGAGCTCGTTGTTTACCTGAATTTGTTAGAATTAGATTCTAAACACAGCCCTGCTATAAATATAGAAATGTTATCGAGACTCACGCTGTGGTGCAGATTCGGGTCTGCTGTCAATTTCAGATCTTTCTTGTTTAAAAAAACTGTTACATTTGCAAAATGGTAGAAGATCAATGAACGGTATAAAACCCAAATATTTTTATTTTATAATGTCAAACTAAGAAAAGTGGTCAAAGTGTCACATCAACCAAGCTGAAATCAAAGGTTACTGGGAACAAATGCACAAAGAATAAACTGATGATCAACATGATTGCCAGGTAGTTGTTAGTTTTATTGATTTATTGATTAAATGTTTACATATCATGTACATTTATATATCCTATTACTCTTATTTATCTACAATTTCATAATAGAAATGTAATGGATTAAGTAGAATTCAGTTTAATAGCAATCTAATGGATTAAGTAGAATTCAGTATTTAGGTTTGACTGACCAAAAATGCTGTGTTGAAGAAGTGACTGACTGAATCAGTTCCAAAATGTTTTGTGGGCTCTTCCGGCTTGTGTAGCTTTCTAAAAAGATAAACAGACAATGGAAGATAGTAAAAGTACTTTACTGTCCATTGAGGCAAACTCAGTTATAGCCCCACCTCTCAAAATAACAACAATTGTTCTAGCAGAGTAGTTTTATTTGTAATAACGCATGTCCGAAAGACATTTTTGATTCTGTGCTCTCAGATTTTCCACTTTCAGCATAAACATCGGCACATTAGATGTCTTTTATTCATCAACAGCCCAATCAGGCCTGGTAGCTGATATCGTGCATTGGTCATCAGCACTCAAGACAAAAATGGTTGATGATAAAAATGTGTGTGTTTGTGTGTGTGTTTGGTGTGTGTGTGTGCACGTGTTTGATGTTCAGTTAAATGGTCTGTTGCTGTTGTCTCAGTCAGGTCTGCTCAGATGTCGATTTTGGGATCAGTCCAGCTCGCTCCTATTTTGGGAAGAAATGTGAAGCCAGCGCTAGCCTCGTCTGTAGAGATGTATGGTGCTCTGATAACAACATCTGGTATTTTGACCCCGCATTTGACTCTCTCGTGTAGGATATTTTAGTAGTGAGTAACATTGATATACTATAAAGAGACGTGGAGGAAATTAGTAGTTTCATTATTTATTTGTGGCTCTTTCCATGATTGGTACATGGAATATTCCATCCCATTCCATTTTGTTCTACTTTATGCTTCTATACACGTCACTGGCTCGTATTTTATTTCACAGTTTTTATTTGACAGCTTTATTACCTCAAAGATTGAAATTAAGATTGATAATACCAAGTATAATTATCAGGTAAAATAAAACATTTTTATCTCTGGTTAAATTCACAAGCTGCCCTGCAGTAAACAAAGTGAGCAAAATATCGAATCCACTCTTACTGGTGGTGAGCAACAAGTGCATTTAAGTGTATTTTGATGAATTTCTTTTCAGGATTTGATTTTGAATGCAGGACTTTTCAGGTCATTTTTTTTACTTTCGTTATTTTTGAGTTGACTTCGACTTGAGGATTTGAAATTATCACTATAAATAAATAACATAAAATGTAAGTCAACTAATAAACTATTAAAGTATTGTTATAGGTTAACCTAGCAGTATATAAAGTAAATAAAATATGCCCCAAGCAACAACATACGAGTGATTACATTGATGATTACAATCTTCAATCACAGCAGCCTGCTGAAGGAGCAGCAGTAACTGATTTATACACTTTTTGTGTACCACACAGAGTCCCCCAGCTCGTATTAGTGGGGGCTGTATACATCCTGAGAGGAATTCTGCAGGTAAATCTTAGGGCTGAAAAAAATACTGTTTACTCCTCTGAAAGTGCAAAAAAACAGGATGAGCATCTATGTTGATATTCTCCTAAAAGATGCTCAAAGTAGTGCTCTATGTCACCTCATCAAAACACATCAGCTCTCTAAAAAATGTAACTAGTCATTTAGTTAAATCCATCTGTCTGTCTATAATGTATCTGTCTTTCTATTGGTACAGTTTATAATTGGGTACATTTTTCACGTGATGGGTGATTCTGTCACCATTAGGACATCACATCCGCAGAGCAAAGGACCTTAATGGTGAATAGAGAAAGTGATACATGTTTTTCTATGATGAGGTTCCCTGTTCAAACTACAAGGTGTCTGTTGTTTCATTGGTCTACACTGGAGGGAGTATTTATTACGTGAGTGTGAGTGTGTGACACTATTGAATCTGTGTTAGGGACCCCAGGAGAGACGGGAACAATTAGAAAGTGGATCACAGCCTGGCTGGGAAAATTGGATTCAGGACACCTGTTATCTTTTCTCTCGGCACTCTCCGGTTTCTTAAAACAAATTGTTTTGTGTGTGTCACATTTAGAAAAAAAACAATCATCTCGTTAGTTTTGCCCATTTAAAGCGTCTGTGTTTATGCCTTTTCTGTAATGTATTAGTTAGTTTAATGGAACATGTAGAAATGCAGCTGGTTCCCCGGGTGTTCAAAGGTTAATTAGCAGAAAATAAGATGTGAGATGGAGGGAGGGATAAGAGGAGGAAGCAGCAGAGCATCACTCAATCACTCAGTGGAGGATGTTGGATGCTGTGTTTTTATTGAAGAGCTTTGTCACCAAGTAGAGGAGGTATCTTCTTCAGAGGGACCCCAAATCAACTTGTTCATATAACCTGCATGTGTGTGTCTGAGCTTCATCTCTTTCCCGTTGGATTTCCCATGGATTAACGATGTAGTCCAGATTTTTGGAAGGGATTTTTTTATCCCTCTCTTTTTTTAGAGTTATTTTTACTGCAGTAATCTGTTGGCCTTATAAAGGAGTTGGACGCTCAGACCATGCTCTTAGCTGCGGAGAATATCCTGAACGATTCACAAGAGTAGGAGAGAACACAAGGGGCAAGAAAACGGCAGTCAATTAAAAATAGGCAGAGTTAAATGGAGCAACAGAAATTGCAGGGAAAAAAACGAGACAGAAAAGGAGTGATGAGTGAGTGACATTGTTTCAGAGACAGGAGGAGGAGAGCCGAGAGACGGATGGACTTTTAGAAAGTCCAAGTATGTAGTAAAAAGGGAAAGAAAGAAAATAACCATGGAGGGTCCGACAGAAGGAGAGGGGAAGATGATTGTGAGGTGGGAGACAGAGGGACTCCAGACTGTGGGCATCGTCTGCCTGGTGATCATGTTCCTCAAACTGATGCACCTGCTGGGCCTCATCGACATCACGGAGACCGGTGAGATGGGACAGGAGGAGAAGGGAGCGAGGAGGAGGCTGGACTTACATTTGTTTTACTCTTATCCACTTAGAAGTAGATGTTTGTGAATGTTTTTGATGCAAATCTGAGTAAACTATGACCGTAGTAGTTGTTGAATTTCAACAAGAGTTCATATAAAGCTTTCTGATCATCTAGGATCATGTAAAAGGCTACTATGGAAAAACCGATATGACTTAAAAGGGTTGATAATAATAATAGACTATTTGTTATTGTCAGCAAATCCCATCATCAGATACTCCTTCCACTTCTTCATCTGAGCCCTATACTTATTTTAAGAGGTGTATTGTTTAAAATGTTAAACAAACAGGAGCATCCCAAACTAAATTGTGCATTTATTGGGAACTATTTCCAGATAGGATTGAACACATCTATAGTGCTCTAGTGAGTATTGACAACACCAAGGGCCCATTTTACGCACATCTTAACTTAAGGTTCACAGAGTTTTACATGTTTGAAGATGATATGTTAAGGCCAACATTGAATGACCTTTTATGTTCCACGGCGGTTTACCTTTTTCATTTTTGAAGGAGGTCAGAAGGTCGTCTCCTGCTGTCTGCTTCCCGCTGATCTCCACACGATCCAATATCAAGAAATGTTTAAACTTCCTCTGCTGTGGTTTTTATTTTTCACACAAGTATTGCATCTCACTGCTCTGCTGGAGGTTTTATCAGAATATAACTTGATCAGTATTTTACATTGGACCGCTCAGCGTGATCTGACGTGTTTTCTTTGTGTTTTTTCCCTCTTACTTTCGCTCTCTCACTGTTCTCCATTTACTCTCTTTCACTCCATCTTGGTTTCAACACCCCTCCTCCTCCTCTGTTCTCTCTGTCTAAAGATGGTGAGTATAGTAACAACACCAACTTTGAGAACACTTCTCTCCCCCCTTTTTTGAATGGTTCCTTTTTTCCCACTCGTGCAGTACTTTCTCTAAGTGTGTGGAAACCGGTAACCAATTTGATTTGAGTGGCTCGTTTTCTAAAGCAGACAGATCAAAATGTTTTGTGACATTTCCACCACAAAGAAAGTACCTCCTCTTCTTTTTTTACTCCCCTTCTTTTTCATATAGTTTTTTCTAAATCTCTCTTACACTGGCACGTTTTCCCCACCTGCTCTTTAACAAATGCCTCTCTGTTGAATGTGTGATCCCACCCCTCCCCGAATGTTGACCTGCATCCACACGCTGAATGTCTGCCCCATCCTCCCCTCTTTTTCTCTCCATCTTTCTCCCTCTATATCTCTTCCTGTTTGTCTGTCTCTTCCTCCCACAGACAGCAGCGACAGTGACCTGGAGCTGTCGACGGTGCGTCACCAGCCGGAGGGTCTCGACCAGCTGCAGGCTCAGACCAAGTTCACCAGGAAGGAGCTGCAGTCCCTCTACCGAGGCTTCAAGAACGTACGTCCTCTTCATGGCTTTACCACCATTACTAGGCTTTATATAGACTTGGATTATTCTGCATATATCTTCTTTTTCTTCCTCTTTTGAGCAGGAGTGTCCCAGTGGGCTGGTTGATGAGGAGACATTCAAGACCATCTATTCTCAGTTCTTTCCCCAAGGAGGTTAGACGTTAAAACAATCTCTCTCCTTTCTGTCATTTCTTCTTAGGGACTGTTTGAAAATGACTTCGGAGGATGTGGGGAAGAGAAGGTTTATGTGTTATGTCTGAAATATTTAGGAAAGAACATTTTCTCTCAAACTCTTCATAAGATTTACTGTAAAAATACAGTTATTTGATACGACAATATGCTCATTGGTTATCAGCCTTATACTGTAGATGTAGTTCAGAAGGGGCCTGCTACACAAATACAAACTAGTAATTATGACAGGAACAGAAGTGGAAGTCATTTGACATAGTATAAAAGACACTGATATCTCCTGTTTAACTGACAGCATTAGTGTGTGGATAAAGTAGAGTTAATCCATTTTGTACAAGTAAAACTTCTACATTTTAAGAAATGGCAGACGTAAAAGTAGTGTAGTTTTACAAAATAAGGGGACTAAAATAATTTGGTAAGGCATCAAGACTACAATAAGTAATTTGAGCTGTCAAATAGCTGTGCTCGAGTGAAAGTAAGATATTTCCCTCTGACATAAATACAACTTTTTTTGCGCACAGATGCCACAACCTACGCTCACTTCCTCTTCAACGCATTTGACATAGACAGAAACGGTTCAATCCGCTTCGAGGACTTTGTCATCGGCCTGTCGGTGCTGCTCAGAGGATCAGTCACAGAGAAGCTCAACTGGGCCTTCAACCTTTACGACATTAATAAAGACGGCTACATCACCAAAGAGGTTTGTTTGGGACATCTCCAGAATTTTAACAAAATCCAGGAAATTGTGCATGTTACAATAACATCCATGCTTCTCCTAATTACTTAATGCTTTCTGACTGAGCTGTATCTATCATGAGAGATCCGATGTTTATTCCTGACTTCTCTCTGCTTTTGTCTTCTCCTCATCAGGAGATGCTGGCAATTATGCAGTCTATCTACGACATGATGGGGAGGTACACTTACCCCTGTGTGCGAGATGAAGCACCCTCTGAACACGTGGACAAGTTCTTCCAGGTCCTGAATGCACACCAATTCAAAACACACACTTTGCTACAACACTTCTTTTTGAAAATAAAAAAAGACCCTTTAAATTATTTTCTCCAATGTGTCCTCTGTCTGTGTATTTCTCCAACAGAAAATGGATAAAAACCGAGATGGAGTAGTGACTATTGAGGAGTTCATTGAGACCTGTCAGAAGGTGATGACTTAAACTGTATCTATGTTACACATCAATTAAAAGTGTAATGTCTAAGATTGTAAATCTGAAACTTCTCTTCTTCAGACTTTTGGTGACAGATGTTTTTCTTCTTGATTTTCCAGGACGAGAACATCATGAACTCCATGCAGCTGTTTGAGAATGTGATATAAGGGAACCCCCCTGCACAAAACACTAAAACAAAGCACGCCCACCTCAAACTCACCCTGGCACATAATGTAGGTACTCTAAAGGCATAGGAACTAGACTTTTTTTTCTTTCTATGTCTCGCTATGCTCCTTTCGCTGTATCCTGCAAACTGCTTCTGGATTGAAAAGACTGATACGGACAGAAGGAGAGAAGAGCTTCCTGGGTAAAAATTCCCATCTGTCTAGTGTGTCTTTGTGTCCTAAATGAAGAAAACTGAAAATCTTCCCGAGATTTATCGTCAGATCAAAATAATCAACAAGATATGGAGATGGTCACAATAATCCTCTGACCTGAGCACACAAGGATATGAGCTAAAAGCACTAATCTGTGTCTCTCACACACACGCACGCACGCACGCACACACACACCAACCTGCTGTTTCCTCAAAAGTTTTTAAGCACCAGATGAAGTGAACTAGTAAGTTAAAATTAAATCAAGAAAAAAAGAGAGAAATAATGTAAAGCATGTTTGTCATCAAATATGTGATGTGGAATTAGCTTGCACTACAGTTTTATGACTATGTATCATATGCGCCTGAAGTAAAGACACTGTATATACCTGCACCTAAACACCACTGGTGTGTATGTATATATGTATAGTTAATAGTTATAGATAGATATATATCCCACCTTGTATTGTTCTCATCTGTGCTGAACCGGGTGATAAAACAGGACCTGAACGTTTTATTTATTTGAGGAATTTCTGTTTAGTAGCAGTTCTTCGCTGATTATACACATTTTTCCTTTTTTCTATTTTGGAAGTTTATGTTTAGCTGGTCAAATTGGAAATGTGAGTTTGTATGAAACAGTGAAGAAACAAAATGACTGTTAAACGTTTCTCCTTACTCTGAATTAAGGCTTTCTCTCTTGTTTTTTTCAGTATCTACAAGCATGCTGACTCTTAAGTGCCACAGTATTGTGTTCAGTACAGTAGGACCTTTGTGATGTCGGTTTATTAAAGACACTGTCAACAGCTGCGACTTCTCTACATTTCTCTTCTGCATTCAGATGACGAGGCGTCAAACATTGTGATGAATAAACTGACATTAACCCTTATAATCCCCAGCCAAAAGCTGTTTTCATTTGTCAGCCCAACAAAATCTAAAACATTTTCTTTTTCAGACTAACTATGGCTGATTGATGTTAGTAAATGCATTTGTATAGACTTGAAGACTAGAAGTTGAGATATGACAGCTCATTACAGAATGCTAAAAAACTAACCAGTTTATTATGTGAGGTTTTTGTTGAAGCTCCTAGCAACGAGGTGCTTCATAACCAATGTATAAAATAGAACACTATTTAAATATCAAAGATTATATCAGAGTCACTTGGAGGATCAACACCTAACATATGAAAAATGCACTTAACCATTATAATGTTTTCTATCTCAAATGCGCATATGGACATTTTAAAAAGGGTATTTGTGTATTTCGAACCCTTGGCATGAAGTATGTGGGAGAAAGACTTGAAACTGATTTTGATTATCTTGATGAATCAAAACATTTAAGAAATAGACGGATTCCTTTTGATGTCAATAATATTAAGTTGACCTGTTGCAAAACTGAATGTACCTTTTCCAGTGTGCTTGATTTTGTATTCCTTTTTTTTGTTGGTTTTTTTGTGGGTTTTCTGTCTGGGACTATGTGTCATATACTTTTGTCTATGCTGTTGCCTGTCTTGGCAAGGTCTTCATTGTGAAGGATATTATTGATCTCAATGGGATGCTCACTCTTTATTGTTACCGTTCATTTTGCTCGTAAGGACCGGAGTTGTTGATAAGTCAGCAATATATCAATTCAAATGTTTTAATCTGAAAAGATTTTAAAAAGCTTGCGAGCAAGTGAGACATATGAGTATTCATGCACGTGTACAGTTCAAGTGATACCCTTGTGAAAACACAATTTACTGCTGCAGCTCCTTTTGTGTTGAATGTCTTTGTATTGTTGACTTAATTGTGTGACATATGAACATTTTACATTACATGATACTTGTTAGATGCTTTTATCCAAAGCGACTTACATACTCAATACTGTGGACAATCCCCACAGGAGCAATCTGGGGTGAAGTGTCTTGCCCAGGGACACAACGACATGCTGACTGCAGTGGGGTTTGAACCTGTGCTCCCCTGATCCGAACACCAACGCACTATTCCACTGCACCACACGCCTCCCTTACGCACATTATGTGCTAAAAAGATCACGGCCCGCAGAGAATCATGTTAGGCAGGTTATCGGGGAATGCGTATTTCACTGCAGTTACTTATTACAATTCACTATATAGACTTATTAATAATAATCAGTTTTATAACTTAAACCCAGAGCCCTCATAAACATTGTTAACCTGAAAAGGAAATGATTCAGTATTCAGTTATGTTTATGTCTCGCGAGTTACTAATAATAGTAAATCACTTAATTTAAACATGGCAGACAAAAATGGACAAGAATAAAAACGTGCGTAATGCGTTCATATAGGCTACTATGGGTTTCACGGACGTATTTAGGACTACAGTGTGAATCCAGGCCACAAACCTTTTGAAAAAAGACTTTTGTGAATAAGTTATATTAATAATTTTTCGGATGTTGTTAGAAATTCCCATTTGCTTCAGTCTTACTGCTCTCAAACCTAATGTTCATTACGTGTTTTTTCCTTCGCCCTGCTGGGCCCCCTTACAGATTAATCTTGTCTGATGATGAGTCCAGAGATCAGATTAATTATAATGTTGCTCCTTTGTGTGTACTGGTTAGTCACCAGTCCCTTGTTTGACAATGCCCCATGCCAACAACAACAACTCGTGTGGGCTTGTCCTTTACTCCTGAGAAACCAAGTGGCCAATACATTTAGTATTACAGCTTCTATAATAAACCTGTGCCCTTTAAGGTTGTTGATATGTTTTTGATAATCCAAATTTGCATTTCATTAAAACACTATAATCTGCAAGGTAGGTTTTCCTACATTGTAAATGGAAATGTACTCGAGCAGGAGCATTCTTGGTTCCATGGGCGTAGGAAGCATCCTGAATGTGGGGGGGACATTTTTAACGGGGGGTGTGGGGGTCCTCCCCCACGAAAGAAAATAGATTTCCTGTATTCTGGTGCATTTTAGGTGGTTTGATACTTTTATGTGGCTATACTAGCATGAGGAAAATGATGGGTACATTTTGTAATTTCATTCTTCAAGAAAGGAAACATATTTGATTATTAATTCAGAGCTGTCTTTGAATTAATAAAAAGCAGTTTAAATGCCCATTTTTTGTACATTTATATACAACAATAAATATTTGTGAGTGCATTGAGAGATATTGTTGTGGATAGTCATTTATATATACATCGCAAAATACATTTGTGAATCCTTCTGTGAGCATTTATTAATATTGAGACTGATCTGACTCCATACAGATGTTAAGTTCACCTAGGAATGGTATAATTGACTTGTTCAAATAAATGTTGCTCTTCTGTCTATATTGGTCATATGATGCCCCTTGACTGAAATGCTTCCTGTTCAATATCCCCACTGATTTCCTTAAAATTCTGGGATGAGAGTCCACATCACAATTTACTCTAAACTGTCATTTCCCTTTCATCACTCACCTCAGCAATGGACCTCTCTCCACTGTCCCTGTGTTCTGCCTCTGACTCACTCTCAAGCGCCTAGATGTCAAGAGAGGTGGTGAAGTGATCATTATTTATTGAGCAGTATACTCTTTCACATTGAATCATAACAAGTCATACTGAATGTAAATACAACTGACTCTAAAGTAAGTCCCAGTCTGTGACATTGGACATTTTGAAGACTCAAAGTCCCAAGCAGTAGGTAGAATATTAGCTAGTCTATGTAATGTGCACAGAAAATAAATAGTTAACTGAATACTGGGATGGAAATTGCCTATAAGCATTCAGTAAAACATAAACACACACAAAAAGCTTCTGAATGATAAGAAGTATAATTAAAACATAATGCACATTACCATTTTGAGAGAGAGTATCCTAAATTAAAGAACTCAGAAAATAATCTCTTATCGAACTGAGGCTCCAGTAAAACACACTGACTGCGTCTCTATGGACATCATGGTGTTTACATGAGCACAGAGAGATCGGGTTATTCATGTTCCCTGTTTACATGATAAATACTAGTAACCTGGCATTTCGATGCCTTTTCTCATCTAAACTATTCATTATTTGTATCTCTCTATCATGACATAAAGACGAAACTCCTCTCCAGAAGTGAGACGCCGCCGCCGCCATCACTGTTAACTGATTAACTGCTACCAGCTGAAGACTTACTTTCCTCTTCTTTGAATTTTTTTTTCTTATGTCCATGTTGTCTGGGGGAGAAAACATATCAAACCAAGAGATCGTCAGCTTTGATTTTCGCTGTATTAACCATTTCTTGAACATTTGGTGTGTGTGCCTTACCTCCGCTACCGGCATCGCTTCATACAACAGATCTGAGCTGTCCAACTATGACAACACTCCTTGAACATGAGAATCTGCCTTGGTACAAAGTAGCAGTGAAAACATGGTACAGAGTTTCATTGATTTGGGCATTCTCTCAATAAGCAAGTGGAATGGATTTGATAGTGAAGCACTGGCACAGCTCTCTACAATGTGCGGTGAGTGGACAGACCGATTCACGGACTTTCCACGTGGTAAAAGTGGGGGGGGGGTCTAAACTAATCATTTAAAAAAGTGGGGGGGACTTGTACAACCCTGATATAATGGATGCGACGCCCATGCTTGGTTATGATGAGTTCAGTAATCCCAACCCCTCACGTGTGTTTATTCCTCATGGCACATTTCTAATACCAAATGCCATGTTCTTAAAAAATGTCAACTCCTGTAACACTCAAATAATGGATAACCTTCACTTTTGAACCACTAAAAGATAATAGATGAGAGATACTTTTGTGTTATCATCCCTTTATATACAGTGCAGAGGAAAAACATGTTTCCCACGATTCTCAATAAAAGAATGAACATCAGGTGAAAACAACACAATACTAAAACAATTACAGAACAATATACAAGACAAGGTAAGCAAAAAAAGCGTTATGTTCCCCGAGGAAATTCGAACGAACATAGTACTACAACCTCACCCCGCCGAAAATGTGTTTCTTGTTGGTTTAATAACCGCTGTTATCCAACGTTGTGGCAAATGTATTATATCAGGGTTATGTGGGAGCCAATGGGAGCTAAGCTCCCATAAGGAGGGGTGGGTCTGAGCTCCCATGAAAGCAGTGAAATCATACATCTGTGGGGGTCGCATTACATACAAACATTATTTTAATCACAAATAATGCATGTGTCAATGTAATGAGTAGGCTATTATTTACGTTAACGATAATGGATCAGGATCTTATCGGCTTCGCTTTCCTTTTAACTGTACCAAAGGTCCGTACTGAACTTGGGAAAAGGGCGTTCAGTTACGCTGCCCCTCAAGCTTGGAACCTGCTTCAAACTGAGCTGAAACTCAGAGAGCTGGTCTCATTAAACACACTCAAAGCAACTTTAACTGACCTTGAAGCAGGCCGCTGTCTGTAAATGCTTTGGCTAAACTTGGTGTATGACTGTGTTGTGATTGTGTGTTTTTTAATTGTCTGTAACTGTAAAACTGTCTGAAACTGTGCTGTTCTTGGGCCAGGACTCTCTTGAGAAAGAGATTTTTAATCTCAATGAGACCTATCCTGGTTAAATAAAGGTAAAATAAAAAAATAAAAATAAAACGAGGTAAATAGGCTAAAAGAAAAACATGTTTTCCAAAAGAACTACGCATCGTATTCTCTCTTGAATGACAATATGCCTGCACTTCACCTCCTGTGAGCGTGCTGCGCGAGCCGAGATTATGTGTTATGTGCGTATTGAACCTTTCATATTTAAATTTGTAGCAAGTCTCTACTTGCTGCTGCTGCTGCTGCTGCTGCTGCTGTGTCTGTGTGTATGTGTGTGCTTGCACGCGTGCGCTCGAACCTTGTATATATGTATATCATACAAATATGCTGTGGAAATGCAAATGACATTACACACAACCATCAGGTGGCGGTGTGGTGGAATACATCAGCATATAGGCAGCACAGAGGATGGCACAAGCAGAAAGAGCCCATTTCAATGTTTAAGGAGGTGGGTGAACGTGCTGGTTAAGTAACTGCACAGAAAAAAAAGAAGCTTATGCAAGAAAGGTTAACAACATTACAAAAGCCGAGGAAGGCGCTGTCACTGACCATCCTCACAATGAAGGAGGGGGCGGTTGCGTCACCGCTGTGCCGCCTCTGATTGGCTGAGCCTAAATTCCAAGGCGGGGCGAGAGGAAGGCGCTTTACGTCACAAGTGGATGTGGGCATGCGTGAGGACGAACGTCAACCCCGTGTCTTTATGAAAGGCAAAATCCCTCTGTGAGCAGCAGCTATCTAAGGAACCGGTTGGTGTAGGATAAGAAGAAGCTCGTCTCGGAAGAACCGGGCTAGAAGACGGTCTGATCTGTTCACCGCAGTCCGCCCAGCGTTGGTTATCCTTCGGCTACAAGCTAGCTGCAGCCTCCGCCTCCTCACCGTGCAACAACACACACCACGGGGACGAGCCGACGGACGTAACGTTAGCCGAGAAGGGAAGTGGGCTCCGGCTTCTCTTTCATCAGGCAGGTGAGGGCAAAACGTGCCATATTTAATCCCATTAGACACTGATATCATACATGTGGAGGTGTTGGGAAGCCGCACATGTAGAAGCCCCGGCTCTATGCTAACCGGCGGGAGATAACGAGTAACGAGATGAGATGTTCGTTACCGGAGCGACGGGCTGTGTGACCGTGTGTCGGTCTGTCTGCTGACGTCGGAGTGTGACCGTGAAACACAAGGCCTCATTACTCCTCAGTCGTCACCTTTACCCTATCTAAAACGACAAAATGTGGAAAAGAAAATAGTAGTTTCAAAATACCTAAACAAAACATTGCTTATCTTTTTGTAGTGCGTAGCCCAACCGTCTCAGGGTTTACAACTCGACATGAGGGCTTTATTGTGACTGTATATATGTATTATGACCTAATATAGGAAGAATAATCGTGCATCACTTCAAATTCAAAGGTTTTATTGTCATATGCACAGTAGCTACAGTGTAGTTATGGCAATGAACATCTAACCAGATTCAATGCAGCATTAATATATAAGACATAGCCATTACAATAGTGACCAATGTGCAGGTAAATGCTTAAGCAGTAACCTGTATACATGTAAAATAAGATGAGCTAACAACAGAATGTAAATTGAATACTGTACACCTGAATAAAGAGTAAAATAACTCGCACCAAAAGAAGCCGAACCACCAGAACTACTACACATATCTGTCACTGTGTATAGTATGTATTATTCGAGAAAATGAAAATGTCAGGTGGGTGAAGAAGTGACAATGATTACTATGGACAATTGAAGATAAATATATGAACTAATGCAGATTGTACATAAGGCAACCATAGCCAGCAGAAGAAGAAAACTGGGACGCCAGTGCTTATTTGGCCATTAGTATTTATTGGCTCCTGATAATGGGGTCGTCCTGGAAACGTGTGTCTGTGCGTGTGTCTGTGTCATAGGCAAACACATTATTATTGGAAGGGTAAGTTGAAATGCAAAGTATAGAAGTAATTATGTCATGATGATGGATATAGACGGCGACGCTGTTTTCCAGTCCAGCTTCAATCAACTCATCGGAAGTCCAAGTAATTAAGAACACTGCTGCCAGGGGCTTGAAGAAAACTTGAAAATGTCGAGTCACTCCGAAATTCATTTCATAATCTTCTACTTGATCTTGCTCTATAAATCTCTCTCCTCTGACCTATTTTGTCATACTGGGCTGGCTTACTGGCTGCCCCAGGCGTTAGAACCAAAGCGGTTAACAGAGAATGTTGTAATCCTGCAACACAGACCTGTAACCAGCCCTGACTCCTTTTCCTATAAAGTAAAATCTAAAGAAGTTATGTTTTACAATAACTTCTCTATAACGGCTAAGAGCTTTTGTTTTTTAGCTTGGCTTTTAAATAACCTTTGTCTTATCTGGATGGTGAGGTTTTCTCCTTAACTTTTGTATATCTTGTCAGTACTTTTGTAACATTTCCAAGGTTTCTTGGAGAACAATAAACATATTGAAATGGACAATAAACTACTAAAACATATTCTATAACGACATACTTAAGTGTGACACCAATGCTTATTTTTATCCCAGTCATTAAAAACTACAGGCCTGAATAAGGCCATTATAATATTATTTCTTAAACTATTAATCTAGCTTTAGAGACCACAATTACCTTTTTTTTCTAACTTAATGGAGCCATTACAATGTTGTTTTTTTACACTAACATTTATCTTGAGTTTTGGTCTCAGAGTTGAGCAATTCTCCCACTGGCAGCTATAAAATGGGACATACTTTGATACTGGTGTGATGACCATCATTGCACAAACGGTTATCTTTCACTCTATCAGTTAAACTAATTAATTAACAGCCTTCTAATCTTGTAAGTGAGTTTTTAATTCATAAATCAAAATAAATGTTATCTTTACTGGGACAATAAAAGCAATGTGAAAATGTGAAAATATCTTCAGTGTATGAAAAAGGCCTGGAGTTGATGACTGCTTGAAGTGGTTGTAGTGGTTTGGCCTACAGGGCTCGACGGTTGCCAGGTTGCCATTGGCAACCATTCAGAAAAAATGTCAACCACTTCTTGGCCTTTGGTTTCCATCAGTGGCAACCAGCTTTTAACATAAAGAAATAAGGGCAGCAAACAGCTAAATGTGCACCCCAAAATAGATACATGTTAATTATGTGTTGTATTAAGAGTGATATTTAATTATTGTTGTGACCAGTCGGAACCTGATACTTAAATTGCACGTGCATTGTTGTGATTACGGAGCCAGAAAGCAATGCACGTTTACTCGCGTGCGCGGTGCGCTGTGTGTTTGTTTTACAAAAAATGGCGAAGCAAAGTTGTTTGACTGTGGGGTAAAAAGTTTGGCCAACCCGTCAACATCTCAAACGAATGTTCAAAGTGATTCAACTGATAAAGCGCAAGATGAACCCGAACGAAAAGCAAAGAGGAAATGTGTAAAGTCTTGGGAGGCGAAATATTATTTGTATGTTCTGCTTCGTTGTGCGTTCACTTCCGGTAAAAGTTCCTTCAAAATAAGAGTCCCGATCTTATTACTACCAAAATAAAAGTGCTAAACGAGACTTTACCATAGGAAAATATTGGCATACAAATATAATCACTTCTATAAAAAGGTAACACATTTTAAATATAGTTAGACATATTAAAGGTAATGCAGCATTAATATCTAATTCTTAACTGTGAATGGTTTTCATTTATTTAACATTAGAAATGTATTAGCCAATGACATAACCACAATCCAAGACTTCAATGCTGAAGGGCCAATGGATCTGTGGTGGGGGTGATGCCTGGTTGCCAGCCTGGCAACCACTTTTAAAAGTTAGCGTTGAGCCCTGACCCTATCAACAGATGGTCGCCTCGTATTGATTAATTTTCAAATTGTACCTTTGATCAAGATTTAGTAGGTTTCTTTTTCAATGCAGTTGAAAGGTTTTGATTGTTATTTGTGGCAAAACATCTATTTTCTTGCAGGGGTGTAACGGTTCACAGAATTCACGGTTCGGTACGTACCTTGGTTTGGGGGTAACGGTTCGGTACGGGTTCGGTACAACAAGAAAAAGCAAAAAAAAAGTGCAAATGCATAACTCATTTTTTAATTTTGAACAGTAGTGCAAGTTTCAGTTTAAAAATAAGGAACTCTAACATTTTGAATAATTAACTGTATTACACTGTTAAAAACAAACCACAAACAGTACCACACACTCGGATGCCCATTATTATTATCTATAATGGCTGATGTCAAACAAAAAGGTTCAATAAGCTGTAAAACTAAAAAGAATGTCTTGAAAATATTACAAAATAAATAATAAAGTGTTTCAAGGGCGCATAGCCGTTCAAATATATATGCCAATAGCTTCCGTTATTTATTTTGGTCTCTCGGCTTTCATGTTTATTGGCTTCTTAAAAACAGCATGGATAAGCTGTTGAACTGCTGTTGTCTTTTGCCGGGCTCCGGTGATTGGCAAATTTGGGTGATGCTGATATGATTTAGCATGTCCGATCCACCACTCGCACTCCATCGTTGTTGTAGCCCACAGGGAACCCGAAATGTTCCCACACAGCTGATTTAAAAGAAGCAAGTGGGTCTTCTAGCTCCTGTGTGTTATCTGAAATCGCCATACTGAGTTTTCTTCCTTTTGTATTTTGTTCGTTTTGTTGTGTTTTCTTCTTGTTCTTCATTTGTTGTTTAAGGGCGGCTGGCAAACAGCTTTTAGGCGCAGTACCGCCCCCTGGATTATATATAGTGTAATGGATACTGCCCTGAGTGACAGACTTTTTTCCCACTCATAAAAAAAAAAGGCATATTCGTCGTGTGACTGCATGTGCCAAACCTTGACATCCGAACCGTGACGGTTACCATTGCACCCCTAATGCAGATAGTTTCTGTTGCACCTGTGCCAGCTGTTTACAATGGACTCATGACTGGTAATCTTTATTGTGAAGCAAGACCAAAGTGTCTGCCAATCCCTATCCGCTTTATTTTAAATACACTGTCAGCTTGAATAAATGTTATTTCTGGATGTAAACCAAGTCAACCAGCAATATGTAATACCAGTATTCTGCACAACATTAAGCCTTAAATCTAAACAACTGTGAAAGAGCATTTCATTCGAACTCAATATTAAGACAAAATAATATAACTTCACTTTTCCTGACTCAAAGAGTTGCTTAGCAGTTTCAGTACAAAGTACTTTTTATTATCCCGCTGAATAACAGTTGGACCTAATCAAAGAACAATAATACGTTTTATTAGTTGAGTGTGCAGACAAGGACTTTTAAGTAGCTAACAATACAGTACAATTCCAAAACAAGCATTCAAATAAATGATGCCTGGTAATTGACTCGTCACTGTGTCCGATGTAGTATGATAAATATAGGATTTTGACCGGGCGGACCTCAGAGGTGCAGTTGTCATGTAGAACAATACATATGATCATATGAAAAGCCTTGTAGTCACAGCTGATAACTCTAGGTGGTGCCAGACTGATCAGCTGATGGTTGTAAGGGTTTGAACACAAGTTGACATTACAGCCAAATGTGGATATAAGCCATGTGTGACCACTAGTTATTTTACCAGCTATTAGGTACATTCAGACCTGTAGTGATTGTTTTATGTAAGCCAGTGTGATGGTTGAACATCCAAAACAGAAAGCAACGTCACCAGCTGTTTGGAGCAGGTGCTTTGATACTCTTTTATTGTTTGAAAGTGCTAGCGTGCATTAGGGCTGCACGGTATTGAAAAAAACTAACATCGCGATTTTCCCCCCCCCCCCCCCCCACACCCCTGCGGTATATATTGCGGTTTTTTTAACCTGTTAAACCCCAAAGTCCCGGCGGGTACTTTACTTTTTTTTTTCACGACAGTGTCTCAGGGGATCGTAATATTTAAGAACCTATTAATGTGTTATACCAGATTAACGGAAATAATCTCAGCTAACTGACGATACAAACCATTTTTACCAAAACAAAACACAAGTCTCATAAGAAGCA